GTCTGTCCCTGGGCCAGTGAGGGCCCTCAGCTGGGAAGCCAGGGTGGGGAACCCTGCTTTGTGCCTCTGCTCTGTGCTCACTGGGGACCAGCAGCTGTGACCTCCCAGGGCCCCGCCAGAGGCTCCCCCTCCCCAGCCACACAGCTTTCACCACATTTATCCCCAGGGACACCAGGAGGAGGGAGCATTTGCATGAAGGGCTCCCCTGGGCCCTCCCAGGAGGGGACAGGATAAGAGACACAGTGCAGGCCTCTCAGGTCTGAGGCTCAGAAGCAGAGCGTGGGCGTCTCCACCATGGCCTGGGCCCCTCTCCTCCTCGCCCTCCTTGCTCACAGCTCAGGTGACTGACTGGGGGAGCGGGACAAGGGAGGATGGGGCACCTGGGGATGCACTGTTCTCTTCTCCTGAGCGCCCGCCCTGAGAAATGACCTCAGCCCCACTGTGTGTCTGTGTGCTTTGTTCCAGGGTCCGGGGTGCGGGCCGGGCTGACGCAGGAAGCCTCGCTGTCGGGGTCTCTGGGCCAGAAGGTCACCCTGTCCTGCACGGGGAACAGCAACAATGTTGGAACCTATGGTGTAGGCTGGTACCAGCAGGTCACGGGCTCTGCCCCCAAAACGGTGATGCTCGGTAGCTCACGGCCCACGGGGATCCCGGATCGGTTCTCTGGCTCCCAGTCCGGCAACACGGCTTCGCTGGTCATCACGGGCCTGCAGCCCGAGGACGAGGCTGTTTATTATTGTTCAACGTGGGACTATGGCATCAGCAATCACACAGTGCTCCACACCCATGGGGAACTGAGACAAAAACCTGCCCTGTTCCCCCTGATCGCCCCTGAATGCCGTGACACAGAAGCGGTGGCTGTGGCAGACCCTATAGGGTCTGACTCGAGAGTCCTTCTGAGCACAGCATCGCTTTATTATTTTATTAATTTCTTAATCCTCACCCGAGGGTATTTTCCCATCAATTTTTAGAGAGAGTGGAAGGAGAGTGAGAGACAGAGAGAGACATCGATGTGAGAAGCACATCGATTGGTTGCCTCCTGCAGGAGCCCCGACCAGGGCCCGGGTTGCATAGGAGCCTGCAACTGAGGTATATTCCCATGACCATGATTGAACTCGGGACTCTTTGGTCTTCAAGCCGATGCTCTAACCATAGAGCCATACCAGCTAGGGCACACAGGCCCACTTAAAATAGGTAGTGAGAGGTGATCTCTCTCAAAATGTTTTTTTTATCCCAACTTCATTGTGATATGGTTTACATGCCCTAAATGTCACTGGTTTAATGTGCACAATAGACCAGCATTTAGTATATGTGCAGAGTGCTGTAACCATCCCATAGTCTAGTTGTAACGTTTTCCTTAGCCCTCAGAGAGGGTCCCACACGTACTAATCATGCCCATCACACCCCTGCCAGTCCCGGGTAACTGCTGACTCACTCTCTGGATTTACATATTTCCTATGAGGGCATTTCACATGATGGAACTGGAAAACAGGTAGCCCTTTGTGGCTATTGTTTCTTTGAATTCTTTTTTAAAATATATTTTTATTGATTTCAGAGAGAAAGAAAGAAATAGAAACACCAATGATGAGAGAGAATCATTGATTGGCTGCCTCCTGCATGTCCCCCGTTGGAGAGGGAGCCCACAACCCAAGCATCTGCCCTGATAAGGAATCAAACATGAGACCTTTAGTGCATCCGCTGACACTCTATCCACTGAGCCAAACTGCCTAGGACAGTTTCTATTAATTCTTCCAAATAATGTACTTGAGGCCCATCCATACTGGGACATGGGTCAACAGTCCTATTATTTTTGACCAAATAATATTGCAATGTCTGAGCACACCAGCGTTTGTTAACCCTTCAGCTGATGGGCATTTGAGGGGTTTTCATCCTTGGCTGCTGTGCATAGCGCTGCTGGGACCTGTGCACCAGGTATGGCTTGTTTTGCTTTTAGACGATGTATGTTTCCATTTCTCCTGGGAGACACTTAGGAGGGGGAATGCGGAGACATAGGACGACTTGACAGGACAGCTTTGAGTCACTGGTGGACGTTTTCCAATATGGCTGCGTTGCTTGTCGTTTGTCCCCGCAATGACCGGGGTTCTGATGTCTCCAAGGCTTCACCCACCTTTGTCACTACGTCTCACATTCACACTGCAGTTCTCACTGGTCCTTCTCTAAGGACCAACGGCATTGAGCATGCTTCCATGTGCTACATGCTCTTCTCCAAGGATCTGCGGTGGTTTAACTGAATTTTTGCTGAAATCACATACCCAGGCTGTGCTCCTGTCTGCACAGCAGGAGTTCTAGAATTCCCCAGAGACAATGGGTGGGCAGCAGGAGGCCTGTCATCTCCCATGAGGCCCAGGCAAGGGGAAGGTCTATGGGATCGGCCTTGATGGGCCCTGCAGCCTGAGGAATCACTGGAGCCCCCTGAGCGCTCCCCCTGCCTCACACTCGCCTTGTATTTATCACCCCCCACCCACTTCCTGTTGTTCTCGCCTGACGTCCAGGCAGAGACAGATGGACAGTCACACCCCCGGGACACGTGTGCATGAAGAAACAAGGCCTATGGGTGCCTTGGACACAGGATCACAGACACTCGGGAATGGGAGACTCGGTTCCAACAACGAGGCCTGAGCCCACAGAGCTCTGGGGCTTCCCCATGGGGACCCACATTCCTCTGCTCTTCCCCCTCCTCCCTCATTGGACAAGCGGTTTCATTAGAGGGACAGGAAGGATGTCAGTTTGGGACACGTGCACTGCTCACCCCCCTTACATCCCAATCCTTTGCTCACCCTCCCATTCTTCCTGCCCCACAGCAGAAGGGAAAAGGAAAGGGGCCGTTACAATGATGTCCTATGTGTTCATGCCAGCTTGTTCACTCACAACGTTGTTCAAATTTCTGAGAAAGCTCCTATGTTGTTACATCAGATGTGCATAGTAGGCCCATAATTCAATGGAGACACTGTGGCATTTTCTACTCAAAATTCCATTTAATGTAAAACTACCCCGTATAACTAAAGGCCTCCTAGAACCGTGGTCGGCAAACTGGCTCGGGAGCCACCTG